CGTCGCACGCCGCGTGCTTTTCGTTGCCGTCTGCTTTTGTGTGTCGCGACGCCTGCAGGCAGCGCGGTGGGTGCGAGGCCGCGCCGACGCTTCGGCGACCCCAGCGCAGCCAGGCGTTCAACCAGGAGGAGGAAAACACAGAGACACGATTCGTCGTCGATGCCAAGGAAGAGATGGGAAATCTGGGAAGTGGGTGGAAGACATAAAAAAAACCCAGACGCCGTAAGAACATAAGGAGAAATATTTGTATTTGTGTGTGTGTGCACTTCTTTGTGCGGGAAAAACACAGACACAATTCGTCGTCGATGCCAAGGAAGAGATGGGAAATCTGGGAAGTGGGGGGGAAGACAGAAAACCCTGACGCCGTAAGAAAATAAGGGGGAAGGTTGGTAGTCGTCGTCGATTCCGAGGAAGAGATAGGAAAGATGGGAAGTGGGGGGGGAAGACATACAAAACAGAGACGCCGTAAGAAAATAAGGGGGAAGGTTGGCATTTGTGTGTGCACTTCTTTGTGTGTGTGTCCCTGGGCCCCTTCGTTCGGGGCCCCGCGCTGCCAGGGGCCGAGGTATCGGCCGAGGCATCGCGGGGCCTTAGCTGTGGCTGCCGCAGCGCCACGAGCGCCCGAGGCGGAGCGACTTCCTCGCGGCGGGGCGCAGGCCGTGCTGCACGGCGCCCTCTCGCGGCGCGATGTCCTGCCGCTCCCCCCCCCTCCTCCACCCTGCCTCCTCCTCCTCCTCCTCTTTTTCCTCCTCCTGCCTCCTCCTCCTCCTCCTCCTCCTCCTCCTCCTCCTCCTCCACCTCCCTCCTCCTCCTCCTCCTCCTCCCTCCTCCACCTCCTCCTCCTCCTCCTCCTCTGTTTTCCTCCTCCCCCTCCTCCTCCTCCCCCTCCTCCTCCTCCTCCTCCTCCTCCTCCTGCTTCGCCGACCGGCGCGGGCCCTCGCACGGCGCCCTCTCGCGGGGCGACATCTTGCCGAAGCCCAGGGGGGTGCTCTCGGTTGGGGTCCTGCCGCAGCCGCTGGCTCAGACAGCCTCCGCCAGGTAATCGTTTTCTCATTCCTCGTTCTGCCGATCGGCGCGGGGGGCCCTCGCACCCCCCCCCCCTCCTCCCCTCTCCATGGAGTAGATTTCTTGCTGCTTTTCGGCGCCTGGTTCGGGCAGTGGAGTCCCTCCTCCCAGCACGCGCTGCGGCAAACAGTCGCACTAACAAGGGGGTCCCAGAGCTAGACCCCCCCCCCTCCCCCCCCCTTCCGCCCAATGTCGAAACGCCGAATAAGAAAACGTTGACCAGAGCGGCCCCATGCATCCGATGTCTGCACGCGTCTGGACACCCAGCCCCCCGACGTCATGATTTCTTCCTTGCGTCGACCCCTGGAGGTCTCGACCCACTCCTCTGGACCAGTTTTTCATCCCGAGTCGTTTTTTGACGGTCCCGAGGGCTGGTAATGGCCCCCCGAGGCCGAGGAGGTCACATTTTTTGTTAATTGCCCGATGGGGGTCTGGGCACGGACCCCCCCCCCGAAGTCGGGACCTTTTGTCTAGGCGCCAGCTTCTTTCCATCCCCAGCCGCGCTTTCTCTTTTGATCACCAGTCTGAATCATATCCCGATCCTTTTGTGTTTGGCATCACCTCACCTCGATGCCGATCTTAAGGGTTCCCTCAGTTTCTGAGGGCACATCCCTAGTGTTGTCCTCGCGATTTGCTTGCCCATCTTAGGGATAGGGTTAAGTCGGGCGTGCCCCTCTACAGGAGGAATATCCAAAAATAATCCAAACATAGTCTCGGGACGATGTTTCTACTACTCTTTGTTCATGTTTGAAGATGTTTGAAGTATTTGGGATCTATCGTCCAAAATCCGCCTCTATAGGGGGGACATGCCCGACCTATGGATAGGGGATCAGTTCGAGGCTGGTTATCTTGACGTCTCCTGGGGCCCCGCAGCGGCCCATCGGCGAGAGGCCCAGAGCGGCGCACGCAGCACCTCGGCCCTTTGCCCCTGGCGCCTTCACAACAGACGATGTGGTGACCGCGCCGCGCGGTGAGTCCGAGGCGGAGGAGGAGGAGGAGGAGGAGGAGGAGGAGGAGGAGGGGGAGGAAGAGACGGGGTGGAGGAGGGAGGAGTAGGAGGGAGGAGCAGGAGGCAGGAAGGAGGAGGAGGAGAGGCAGGTAGGGAGGGAGGAGGAGAGGAGGAGATGGAGGAGGAGAGGAGGGGGAGGAGGAGAAGAGGAGCAGGAGGAGGCAGGGTGGAGGAGGAGGAGGGGGAGAAGGAGGCGGAGGACGAGGAGGAGGAGGAGGAGAGGTAGAGGCAGGAGTGTAGGAGATGGAGGAGGAGGAGGAGGCGGAAGGAGGCGAGGAGGAAGTCGGGCGGGGGGGCGGAAGAAACAGGGTGGAGATGCAGGAGAAGGAGGAGGAGGAGGACGAGGAGGAGGAGGAGGAGGAGGAGGAGGAGGAGGAGGAGGAGGAGGAGGAGGTGGGCCTTCGGGGGCACCGCGCCGTCGTGGGA